AGCCCGCGAAGACAGCTGCGGAGCGTGTGTAAAACGCCCTATCGTGTCCTGGACGCACCAGAACTCGCTGACGATTTCTACCTTAACTTGGTGGATTGGTCAAGTACGAATGTTTTGGGTGTTGGGCTGGGACATTGCGTGTACCTTTGGACGGCGCATAATGCTAATGTCTCCAAGTTGTGCGAGTTGGGACCGGCGGACCCGATCAGTAGCGTTTCGTGGGTGCAGAAGGTATGCTTATGCTTTTGATCGTCATATATGCGCTCCTATCATGGGAGTATGGCGATTATGCGCTGATGCCGAGACTAACGATTATGCTTTGTGTTTGATAGGGTACTACGCTTGCGGTTGGAACCCTAACCGGAAAACTACATATCTATGATGCTTCAACATTACAACTACAACGAACCTATCAACAAGCTCATTCGCAGAGGATAGGTGCACTTGCGTGGAATTCGCATGTGTTATCTTCTGGATCAAGAGACCGGATGGTCTACCATCGAGACGTACGCGAACGTACATCAAGACCATTTAAGAAGTGCGCTGGACATCGACAAGAAGTGTGTGGGTTGAAATGGAGTTCGGATGGTGGGGTCAATTCTGCCACACTCGCTAGTGGCGGGAACGATAACAAAGTGTGTATCTGGGATCTGAGGGGGTCGAGGAGGCCAGGTGGGTTGGGGACTGCCAATCCTAGTCCGTCTCGAAGGAGCGGTGAAGAGGATGGTGGTGGCGGTGGCGCGCCTGCTGCTGGTGATGCGCCCCTCTGGAAGTTCCACGAACACACTGCTGCAGTTAAGGCACTTGCTTGGGATCCCCATGTTTCTGGCGTGTTAGCAACGGGCGGTGGTACACAAGATGGCCACATTCGGTTTTGGAATGTTGCCAACGGAACGATGCTCAGTGAGCTGGGAACCGGAAGCCAGGTACGACCTTTTTGAAATAATCACCCTGCCTCTCAGTGAAGTTATTGACGCTCCTGTCTTTTAGGTTTGCAATTTGATCTGGTCATTAACGTCTCATGAACTTGTGTCTACACACGGGTTTTCACATACGACGGCGCAGAATCAGATCTGTATCTGGAAATATCCATCCCTCAATATGGTTGCTTCGTTAACGGGCCATGTCAACCGTGTGTTATATCTGGCGATGAGTCCAGACGGAGAGACGATTGTGACCGGGGCTGGAGACGAAACTTTACGGTTTTGGAATGCGTTTCCGAAGAGGAGGCCTGGTGATAGAGGCGTGCTTGCGGGTTTGGGGAGTGGAAGTAGTAGTGCGAGCGGTGGTGCGTCAGGTGGAGAGAGTAGGTTGGATTATGGGAGATTGATTCGGTAATCTGTGTGGTGGCCATGGTGGATGTGGTTAGGTGGCTGATTCGCGAAAGTTCGCTTCCTGAAACCAGGAATTGCGGGCTATTGCTGCCACCACATATCCTTAATTTTGGTCGACATATTTGGGGTCACGTCCCGCAGACCTTGATCTGTGCTGTTATGGTGTGTGGATTTGCCTGCCGTGGGTGCCTTTGTGCTTGCTTCATTTTTTTTGTTCTTTCTTTCTCTTTTTTGTTCTCGTTGTGGACATTCATTCGTTTTGTCGCTACTTCAATGTCTTTTTTCACCCCTGTACCCCCGTTCATTCTAGTCCATTTTTCATTCTCGATTTGTCCACCCGTTCATTATCTTTGGTACTGTTTTATCTTTCTCTTGGGACTACAAATATTTTACTGCCACTCTGGTCTTCCAATCTTTTATATACTCTATCTATACTTATTCACATATCCACCACCTCCTCGCTCATCCAGTTCTGCCCATTCAGCACATTTGCCCACTACATCTACAATATGTCACGTCGCGTTGTGTTGTTCCCCTCGATTTGTATTTTAGATATTATAGGATTCCCATTGACCCGTGCGGCTTCTTAGCTCATTCGTTCCTTGGTCCGGTCTTCACCTCATCCCATTCATTGCATTGTTCCTCGGTTTTTTAAACACTATTTATAATTTTTTATTAGCTTTCACCTGCTATTATTTTCCCCCTTCTGTACCTCTCGGACAAGAGGTACTGGCACACACACACACACACATCCTTACCGCACCATACGGTCCACACCATACCACCTCAGTTGCGTGTGTTGCAGCGACTGCCTTTGGGCTGCTAACGCGCTGACGGTGACGAAAAGGCATCGGCTTCGGACAGTCAATCGGGTCTCCGAAGGACACTCGTTACACGCCCATTCCCATCGATTATACTTGCCCAAGTACGAGCCAAGGACACCGCCGTCGCCCCCCCACCCATGATTGATGTACATAGCCCTTGTACAGGAACAACCCGCGTGGAATGTTCAAGCCTCATCCACTATCTTCTTCCAGAAGCCCACAATCATTTTCCTTGCCTTAGGATTCTGGGATCTACTGTTCTTGCTCTGCTCGCTTTTTGAATGACTCGGGCGCTTATTTGTCCCCACAGTCATTTGACTCCACCCAGCTTATACGCAACCCAACCCTGGTTGCATTCAACCTAACATTATCCGGTTCGACCTCTCGAATCATTGCTTTCCAAAAGTCACCCGTTTTCGTTGCAAGTTCGTTTTTTTCCTTCCAAAGCTATCAAACAGATTTTACGTTCTCTCTTTCTTTCGTTCCCCCTCTATTCTCGGCTTATTCCATTAAATCTACCTTCCTTCGGGTTTCTTTTTTCCTTACACCTTCATATCAGATCAGCTCATTGATCCATGCGCTGTATATTCCCTCTTCTCTCAACCCCGTCTCTTTCTCTCTGGGGGGTTATAGAGTTAGAAACAACGTTCATTTCTCTTTCCACTGTTTTTCTCATTTTCTATCGGCACAGGTACAAGTACAAGTTCTCGGGTACATCCAATTTCACAACAATACAACTCAGGAGGATCTCCTTTCTTCTCTTTGTCTGGTATATCCCGCCTATATAAGCTAGCAAGCAACTCACCCTGCACATACTACCCCCCAACCCTTCGCCAATGAATTACCCTATGCACGTCTCGTCCTCTCTTTCTCCGTCTCTCGCCAGGATTATGTCACTAGTACAACAGATGTATATGCTATATATATGGTTTTCTCTTTTTCTCTTCCTCGAAATCCCGCATTGTTTGAACTTGAGTGTGAACGTCATGAATAATGCAATTTGTGAAGAACTTCAAGAATGGTGTCGGTGATGATAATAGGTCTTGCAGTTGCTGGAAATGTACTTGTAGCACAGTCGTACCGTAGGTATACATACTAAGAGGTATGAAAGTAAAAGATACATTATACAGAGCACGAACGTCGACTAAGTGTTCTGGGTTCGTTGATACATGCTAGCGATACTGGGTAGGTAATTTGGGAACACAAGACAAAAATCGGTGCCTCGCAGGCACTTACACCTCACCCGAACTATGGGGGTGAGTTTATGAACAACGAAGGGAGTGCCACCGGCAGACCCACGGAAAAATGCAAGAATAAGAATGAACCAAGCCGAAGAAGACCAAGAATTTTGCAAGGATCATTCCTTGCGTGTCCCCAGCATAACACTGGATCTAGCCAAACTGGAATTTCGGCGTCGAAGATGAATTTAAGGCACCAGTGCCGAATTGGAAGGAAGGTCCTGTGGATGCAGTGGCCGCTGCCGTTGGCGTTGGTGCAGCAAAAAGAGGGCTAGGTGTAAACCCAAAAGCCGATGGAGGAACAATGGCGGGTGTTGGTGTTGGTGCTGCTGGGGTTGAGGTTGCTGAACCGAATAAGCCAAAGGATGTGATAGCTGGTGCTATTGGTGCGGCTGGTGTTGTTATCGTAGCGGCCGGAGCTAATCCTGTTGAAGTTGAACCTAGAGCAGGCCCAAATAAACTTAAAGTCGGTAGTGCGCTGGCCATGGGTGGTAGAAGAGGATTGGAGGTTCCGTTTGTGTTCATCAAGGAGCCACCAGGAGGTGGTGGAACGTAGCTAACGTTTCGCATGGCATTTATTGGGGTTGGACCAAATGAACGAAGGATATCTTCTGAGTTGAGTTCGCGCCCAAGACGCAAGTAGGCTACGCGTAATTCCTGTGGAAGAGAAGGCAGGTGTGGTTGAGAATTCGGATATTGTGCTTGTAGATGTTGAAGGAGCCTAACCTCTGGACTATGTTGAGAAAATTGGGGTTGGATAACGATGCTTTGAAATTGTTCATTGGAGGAAAATAGTAAATTAGTTGTAGATGGTGGCTTGCTGTCTGAAGTAGATGTGGTAAGGGTGAATGGGTCCATTGGGACTGCGGTTGGCGGAGATTTGAAGCCTTTTAGATATGCGTAGGTTCTGAGTTCCTGGAGTGTGGCGTCGAGGAACCCTAAGTCTAAATGACAAAAAGAAACGCCGTAACGCACCTCAAAAGAATACCCTTTATACCCTGGCGTACACGATATACTGTGGTACGTTTCGTCACCTTCTATCGCAGGACTGAACGGCTGTGCAGCCTGCAGCTCCTGGATCTATCAAAGAACACCATGTCAACACAACTGATCCTCCATCGACAATAACCAACGAGGCGAATGATATACCGAAAAAGTCAACTCGTTTTCTGGGAAAGGTTGAAAAACAGGCGGCAAGCCCAGAGCTCGCCTTTGCGCGTCATCTGTGGGTTGTTCAGGACACGGTTGTGGTGGCCGACCAGTTGCCTGATAAGCTGTAAGATAGTCCTCCATCCGCAGTTCCTAATGCGATACAAGGACGTCAGTTATGCAGGGCGAGACGATCATTCAGCCGAAGATGGGCAAAACCGACCTCGAAACTTTTGGGGTGTGGCCCGTGGACGGCTGGTTGGCACATCATCACGAGAGTTGATGTCGTTGTCCGCGTCGTGCTGGACATTTCGTCGCGCTATTCGTTGTGGAAGGTGAGCTGAACTGACGTTGATCGTGGTTTGTGGCCAGTGCGCGTTGTCGCGGTACAAGCTTAAGCGAAGTGGTCAGCCAAAAAATGGATGTGGGAATTGCAAAGGTGATGGGCGCCTATAGGGCACATGGTGTAGTTGGTTATCACGCCCGTTTAGCACTCTATTGCTGAACTACGGGCGGTGCCCGGTTCAATTCCGGGTGTGTCCATATCTTTTTCTGTTTTTATTCTGCCATCTGATTTTGACGTCTAAAAACAGGCCAGCTCCCATTGCTCAAACAAACCCCTTTGGACGTGTGAAGGGAAGCCAGTTAGACGCCAGGTTGCCAGGTGGCTGCCAGCGTGAACGCACGCGACCTCGTTCCTTGCCTCATTGCGATCACCACATCAGCAATCCTAGAAAGAAAGCTAAAAGCCCCCAGCCGTTCAAACGTTCACAGTTGATGGCTCTCTAAAAAATCTTTCTCTTCTTTGTGGTCGAAACAGGACGGGATTGACACACAAGTGTCTTGTTTTGACTCAAAGGCGAGATAGTTTCTTTGATAGCTGTCATCCACCATATTTACTCAAAAGGTATTCATAAACATATAAAGGTCAGCACACGCCTGCAAAGCATTGCCTCCATATCTTGTCCATACCCCTCCTTGGTTATCAACATCTATCTCCACGATCTATCCCATCCCCCGCCTTTGTGCTCAACACCCCGCCATTACCCACAATGCCGAAGAAGGACAAAGTCGTCGACACTGAAGACGATGCCCGCTATATGACCATCTACCAACCATTTCCGTTTGGCGGAAACTGGGAACTCGAATCTGACTATATTCAATTGCTTTACTGGCTCGCCTGTTGTACTGGGAAAGATGCCCTGTTCGCCGTTCTACATCGCCCAAAGGTACGTTCCAAGTTCTACCTTCGTCTATCCGTGTGGCGTACTCACTGGGGAGTGGCTGATCATCTCGCCTTTATTCAAATAGTCGGCTTCGATGGTCATCATCGAAGTTGACAAAGATTTCCCAGATTTTAATGTTTTGCTGGGCGAACATCGTTGGAACCAGTTCCTTAGGAACCCAACAGAGGATGAAGCTGGGCGGACTTCTAAGATTTATTATTCGACCTATTCTACGAGTATGGAAGCTAAGAAAGATGGTGGGTATCGGGTATCTCTTTGGAGACGTCTTTGAAGACTAACCGCCGTGTAGGGTGGAAGCGTATCCACGTCGAGAGCTGTTTCTTTGATAAGTGGGCACCAGTAAACAGGTTAGTCACACACTCACCGAGTGGCCAACCATACTAACGCAGCACTAACAGCAAGGTCGCCCACCCATACCCGAAATCTGGGTATTGCGATGTCCCACCAGAGAACGTGACCACAAAACGGTTATGTCGACCCCTTCCAATGACATTTCAACCTCGTCCTGGTCTTCAACACACGAAAGCTCCTGCAAATCAGAAACCTGTGAGACAAGGTAAGCGCTCAAAGGAGTGTCATGCTCCGATCACCGTCACTGATGACGTTCTTTATAGTTCCCGGTGCATCATGGGCAGATGAAACCGAAGCCCAGTTGTTCACCGGTGACTCGCCCAACCCTACTCTTGCTGGTGCTTCTTCTAAAGGCAAGAAGAAGAAAGGCAAGAAGAAGGGAAATGACACCGCCGTTGTGTCAAGCCCGACCAGTCCTACGTCGGGTATCGCATGTTCGTATCGTATTCCCTCTTACATTCCCTCATGCTGTTTGACATATCCTGATAATTCGGTGCATATATACAGGGGATACACCCATTTACACTCCCAACACAAAAGGGAACATATCTTCGCCCACCAACGACTTCAACACAAACGCCAAAGCAATTGTCCCGCCTGGATTAACTCATCCATCCTTTTCTGCTTCTGCCAATCAAACTGGCAATGGCGGGGACGGTTGGGGTATTCCAGACGATTCACCCTTGCAATCACCTTCGAACCTGTACAACGCGGACTTCCCCGCTCCTCCGGGTCTAGTTCGTGGTATCACCAATAGCAGTATCGCTACCACTTCAACGACTTCATCCACTCAAAGTGGTTTTCAGACTCCCAATGTTCAGGTTGTGCATCCGCCTAATCCTGTTGGGTTGTCTGGTTATGAATCCTTGGTGAATAAGATGGATAATGTGTCGTTGGGTGGGGCGATGAATGGTGAGAAACCAGGTGGGGGCGTCATCGTTATGAGTCAGTACGAGGAGGATGAAGACGAGGATGGACCTGGGAGGTATCTTGCGCCTTATGAGAGGGTTCCGGTTAGTCAAAATGACGATGAATGGAGTGTGGTTGGTACCAACGGGAAGAAAGGTGCTAAAGGTACGTAATCCTTTTCTCGTCGCTCTGATATGTAGGGTGAGTTTACGTACTCATCCGGAATCTATACTTAGACGAAAAGAAAGCAGAAGACCCACCCAACTACTGGAATAATCTTCCCGTCAAGAAACCTGCCGACCCGGATGAAATCGTTTGTACGACACACGGAAAAATTTGCTCCAGAGGTATCTGTACGACTTATGCCAAATTGAAGCGGGAGAAGAAGTTCGCCGAGGAGAGGAAGAAGAAGGATGAAGAGAGAAAATTGAGGTTGAAGGAGAAGAAACGGAAGGAAAAAGAAAAGAAGAAGGAAGAAGGAAGTAATCGTGGGGGTGATGGGAGCGAATCTGAAGACGACGACGACGACGACGACGATAGTGGTTCTCAAAGCAGGAAGAGATACAACAATAACAACAACAACGGTGATAGACGTGGATTTGGGGATAGAAGTAAGTTTCTCTTTGCCATTCAGTTAGGTCGCCATTGTACTCAACGTTGTTTTTTAAAACCAGAACCACGATATATTGAACCGCCCATTCGGGATCCCAAACTATCCACTGCATGGGCGACCCCTCCTCCTCCTGTTGCCAATAAACCGGATGCATGGTCATCCAGGGCTGCCCCATCCACCGCTGCACGAGGTCCTCAACCTGGAGACACGCCCACGCACACATACACCATGGCCAATGTGCCCCATACCAACTCTACCGAACCGCCCATTCGGAATCCTAAACTATCCACCGCATGGGCTACTGCTCCTCCTCTTGCCAATAAATCGAAGGAATTCCCTCCCGTTGGTAGTTCATCTACCGCATCCCGAACTGCTCCATCCACCGCATGGGGTCCCAAATCTGGAGACACACCCACGTACACGTACACGATGCCCAACGTATCTACCAAACCTATCCCTCAAGCTCATGTTGAACCTTCCAAACCAGTGAACACGAGTAAAGTGGCGGTAAAGAAGGAGGAGAAGGAGGAGGAAGAGGAAGAGGAACCGAAAGCTGCAATCCCTACTCTGGCGCAATATATGGGAGATGATAGTGATGAGGATGATTACTTCTGATCTGCAGAACTGCATGCAGACCGTAGGGGTGAGTATATGCGTGGGTGTCTTCTTGAATTTTAGCTCGAGATCCTACCTATCCTCTCTCTCTTTTGTTTCTTCCATTCCTCATGGTTGTTCGAGTTTTTTTATCTTTTGGCGAGGTTGAGCGGGGTGTATATCTTTTTTTGTTGCAGTAGCCTGAGATTCAGCTTGAATTCTTTCACAATGAACAATTCTATTTTTTCTCTCTATCGATCTAACTTTCGCTTCTATGCCGTCTCGTTTTCTTCTTTTTTTTGCACTTTTGTAATTGCTTCTCTGCTCTCTTGCTAAAGTCCTTGTCTCAATGTTTTGCTATCCCTGATGGGTGTTTTTATATGCGGCAGTACAGCGTACGTGTCGCATATACGGTCACCTACTGTACTCGCCATGTTCCTGTTGTCGATTTGCCATCTGTTGTTTTGCTTTAGTTTCGCAGAATCGTCGTGTTATCTCGTCCGTGATCTGTACAGTTGTAAAACTCACAATGTCACATTTCGTAAATGTACCATCCAGTAGCCCACTGTTCGCATTCAGAAGGTTTGATACACGATCGTAAGGCTGCGCAGCTTGATCTACTCTACAGTCCCAACACCACCTTCCTTCAACCTAAAGACCTTCAACCCTTCCTCCAGACCCCACGGAACTTCATCCTCCCAATGCGTAACCACAATAACTGCCTGATGGTCAGCAAATGCCCCGCCGGCCCCACTATCCACAGCGATGTCAGCTGTTGCAGGACGCCGGAAATATTGGGTGACAGCCCGAACCATCCCTTCCTCCATCCCGCTCCATACTTCATCCAATATAACGATCGGTGCACGACCCACAATCGCACGCATTAACAAGACTATTCGTTGTTCGGCCGTGGACAAAGAAACGAATTGTTCTTGACCAAACGAGGCGTTCGTTCTTTGCGCAGCAAGTACAGTGCCCTCGTTAGGAGGACTGGGGCCGTCTTGAACCCTTGGTGCGGGGCCAGTTGAATGCGCAGATGCATCCATTTTTGCCGCCACGTTTCAGGTCCAAGGGCTTCTAAAACCTCTTTAACCCTTCGAACCCTCCACGCTCTCTCTTCGTCACTCAATTCACCTTGAACTCCCTTTCCATCGCCGTATTTCCCAGATTCGACAAAAACACCGTCGAACCCTGTTCCGACGATATCCCAAACTCGACCGCCCACAGGTTCGTCGATGAAAGCCCATTTATCCTTATTGTTGTGTTGGGATGGACGTCGGGGTCGGTGGTGGTGTCTTCGAGGAAAAGCATCGAATAGTTCGGGAGAGAATAGGGATACTTGAGCGGCTAAGTGAGGTGTTGGAATTTGTTTACGGGGGCGGTTTGGGTAGAGAAGTTTGAGGTGTGGGATGGAGAATGAGAGCGGGTGAGTGCCCGTCAGGATTGAGAGTAGTGTGGTTTTTCCGGAGCCTGGTGGAGGGTATGGTTAGAAATAGAGGTGAAAAGCAGGATGAGCAGGAGGAAGACTCACCATTTGAGCCTTTCAGGTGCCATTTCTCTCCGGCGCGAATTTGCCAGGTGATGTTGTTGAGTACCTATATACGCGCGAAATCGGTCAGACGTGCAAGGTTACGATGGGCGAACGACACCATACCACTCGGTCGCTATACTTGATTGTTGCGTTTTGAAGGTCTGCGAGGAGGGCCTCAGGTGGTATGGCAGGATAAGAAGGATTCGCTGCGGCTTGGACATCCTGATGCGACGTAGAATTTGCTGCAGAGGAAGTAGGTTGTCTTCCAGAATCCCGAGCCCGCGTATCGATAATATCT